GTTTCATTTGGTCAACAACACACTTTTTTCAAAGCTCTAGCCCAGGATGTTTCCATTCCCAGCCTACATACAATACAATCAGCTGCCAGTGTTGGAAAAAACAGCCAAAGCCGAAGAATCTTGGGGGGACACACATGTCCCAAGGACCCCAGAAAATCAAAACCTCTGGTCAAAAGTCACTTAAATATTGATAAGATTCTGCATTCTGGTTGATATTTCTTCACACTGGAGTGTGAATGGAAATTGTGCGTTGAGATATGGAACAAAACAGGCGCCCAAAAATCGGCCCCGATTTTGAAGAATTTCCCTTTTAATTAGGCGAATAAATCTCGAGTGTGGCCGTTCAGTTATGCGAAATTGGAACAGCAAATCAAAGGGATAAATAGGGTTATAGAATATGCAAAAAGGATAGCATAATATGCAGCAGATGAGACCATACATTTCTAGGATCTATTTAGACCAAGGAACAGAGTGGAGTCCCTGTGGTGCCCCTTTATTGGTCCCAAGGGGCACGTGAGGGGCAAAGGGAGGATGCCAGGATGCCAGGATGCCATCCATCTATCCATCCATCATCTACTCTTGAGATACTACCCCGCAGTCCAGTCCCCCCAGTCCCCCCAGAACCCCCAACACCCCCAGAAAAAGCAAAGGAAAATCGCAGACAAACATTATTTCCCCTTCAGTGTATTTTTTGTTGCTGTTAAATGTAATTTTAAGTGACGTCGCCAAAGTTGAAACGTGACAAAATTACAAAATATTTTGTAAGCTCTTAAAACCGTTGATACTGTTGCCAGAAGAGAACGGCGGCAACGGCGCCGGAAAGGGGCGAAGGGCCGGCAGCCAGGACAGGCCATAACATGGCCCATAACAGTAAAAACAAATAGAACCAACACCAACAACGTAATACTTAATAACGTGCATTTTGATGTTGTCGCGGTTGAAGGGGATTTCCGAAAGTTAAAGCTGGACGTGGGATACCCTGTGGCGTCGGTGGCGGACCAAGATTGAGCCTGGCATTGCACTGAAATGCCCCTGATATCGCCCGATCCTCCCATCCCCTGCCCCACCAATATATATGATCTGGGCTGCTGCCGCCAGACAAGTTTTTGGACGAATACGAAGGAGTTTTCGGGTTTTCTTCGGCAGCCGCAGCGGTTTTGCGATATGTAACAATCCCAAAAACCCGTCGAATGTTGCCACACGAATAATATAGGGCCAAAACAGATCCTGTTTGGCTTTGATGGACAATGGAATGGATGATGATGAATGCGTGTAAAAGTTTCCAAATGCTCATGTAATATTTATTGGAAATCAATCAATAGCTCACAAAAGGTTCCTTTATTAACGAGCAGAAAAGTAAGGCTACAAGCGGGGCTCAAATAGGGTCAGAACGGAGTCCGAATGGAGTCCAAGCTGAGTCCAAGCTGAGTCCAAACGGAGTCCAAACGGAGTCCCAACGGAGTCCAAACGGAGTCCCAAACGGAGTCCAAACGGAGTCCAAATAGAATCCAGACGGAGTCCAAACAGAGTCCAAACGGAGTCCCAAACGGAGTCCAAACGGAGTCCAGAGTCCAAGCCGAGACCAAACTGACACCTAACGGAGTCCCAAACGGTGTCCAAACGGAGTCCAAATAGAATCCAGACGGAGTCCAAACGGAGTCCAAACGGAGTCCCAAACGGAGTCCAAACGGAGTCCAAATGGAGTCCCAAACGGAGTCCCAAACGGAGTCCCAAACGGAGTCCAGACGGAGTCCCAACGGAGTCCAAACGGAGTCCAGAGTCCAAGCCGAGACCAAACTGACACCTAATGGAGTCCCAAACGGTGTCCAAACGGAGTTCAAATAGAATCCAGACGGAGTCCAAACGGAGTCCAAACGGAGTCCAAACGGAGTCCAAACGGAGTCCAAACGGAGTCCAAACGGAGTCCAGAGTCCAAGCCGAGACCAAACTGACACCTAACGGAGTCCCAAACGGTGTCCAAACGGAGTCCAAATAGAATCCAGACGGAGTCCAAACGGAGTCCAAACGGAGTCCCAAACGGAGTCCAAACGGAGTCCAAATGGAGTCCCAAACGGAGTCCCAAACGGAGTCCAGACGGAGTCCCAACGGAGTCCAAACGGAGTCCAGAGTCCAAGCCGAGACCAAACTGACACCTAACGGAGTCCCAAACGGTGTCCAAACGGAGTTCAAATAGAATCCAGACGGAGTCCAAACGGAGTCCAAACGGAGTCCCAAACGGAGTCCAAACGGAGTCCAAATGGAGTCCCAAACGGAGTCCAAACAGGGCACATATTTAGAGGCATATTCCTAGCTCCTGGCTAAAAACAAATCAATTATTTAAAACTAGTCTCAAGGCTCTTCAAAAAGCCATTGTTCAAACCTATTTTTCGCGCACGATTCGTGTGTTTTTGTTCCACTGTGCCCAGGTCTGTAAAGAGCATCGTTAGCATTTCCATAATTATTATTATTATTTGTGCAACATAATGCAATGAAAGGTCTCTGGGAGCCCACTCAGCTAGAGGGAGAGGGAGAGAGAGAGAGAGAGAGAGAGACAGTGCGAAGTGAATTAAAATGGGAATCCCCAGAAATGTGAGTTATACCCGGTGATAAAACATGACTCGCTTTTTGGCTCGTGGATTCGTTTTGTGTCAAGGCATGCCGTCCTTAAAATGTTCTGAATTCAATTGCGAACTGCTGCGAGGGGGGTTTTCATGCGGCAGAAGGGCGTGGTGTGGGGTGGGTGGGGGTGCGTTGGTTGTCGTCTGCGGTTTGCCTTTTATTACGCCAGAGAAGCGGCAAAAATAATTTCGGCGTTAGTTGCCAAACGGAGAATGCACTCACTAATTAGATGCATAATTAGACCTGAAGTTTGGGGCCCAGGCCGAAAGCGAGGGGGCGTGGCGCAGTGTTTGCGTGTGGTATCTGTGGTGCGGGTGTGTGTGTAGCCGAGCAGAAGGCAGACCAAACCACGAAACCACGAAACCACGAAACCACTCTCAACTGTCGCTCTATGAACGGTGCTACCTGCTCTCCGGTAAGGAGGAAGCCTCTGCTCTGTGGCTTGCCTCGAATTCCATTGATCCAATAAAACAGAAAGTTATAGTCAGCCAAAGACGATCGACCCCCCCCCCCCCCCCCCCCCTTCCTTGAAGGATCAAGTTCTTGAGGCGGTCCTTGCACAATCCAGGCACAAGTTCTTCTTGCAAGAACCATTCATTCTACCAAAAAAAAAAAAAAAAGAGAGTGAGCGAGAAAAAAAAACCGAAATTTGCGGATCCGACGAAAACTGCTTTCTTCAGCCCGTTTTGGGCGAACGATTCGATTGTGGAGAAAGCTGAGACGGCGAATACCGAGTCCCACCGAATCGATTTGTTCGCCTCATTCCAAGGAGTATCATTGGCTCTCGTCGAGGGTGTCATTCGCAGCTTAGTTCTTATTGACTTTTGAAGGAAATAGCCTTCGATCGGTCATTTCCAAAACCATGGTCCATTTGAAGTCTTCGTTCAGGGCGATTCAATTACGAGAATGCAAATCTATTTCGTTTTCAAGGACAAGGATTCCATCTGAAGGCTGTTTGGGCCTTGGTTCAATGATCCGAGACGGTCGGAAGGGGCTGATCATGATCATGACGATATGTTCCAATACTCGCGTTAAACTTTCCTCTGTCCATCCATTCCAGACACATTTCTGGTCAAAATGTTACGTGCCATTGGGCAATTAGGCGTTAAATAAGCATCTATTGAGGATTGGATTCGAAATTGAGGCCGAGGCCTCTACAGTTGTTCCGATTCTGTTCGGAGCAGCGTTCGATGGAAGCTCAAAGTGAAGGTCTGCTTCCAACAAGGGCCACCAAAACTAGGCCAACGACAGAGTGGGTCTGGCTAGTGACGAAGCACCAAATACCCTGCAAATCGATCTTACCCATAGATAAGTATATCTTAAGGGGAGAATCGAGTGAATATGAATTACCTATGCGATCGGAAATGTGTAGTTTTTCTGAGCTTCGGAGCAATGTAAAAGAAAAGCCATTGCAACAGTCAGTCCATCCCTATCTCTCTTCCTCTCCCCCTCTCCCCCTCTTCGCACTGGATGCCTACTCCTTGTCACTGGCTGTGCGCATTTTTGGCCGCAAAAACTTGGGCACGTGCAAAGTGCACGTAGCCGGAAACAAATGACATTGTCAGCGCCCAGGCACCCAGGCCCCCAGAACCCCATCCCCATCCCCATTCCCATTCCCATCCTGCTCCCCTGTTCTTGCAACCTTTTCTCCGCTTCGCTCAGCTCAGCTCCTCTCCGATTCTTTCTCCCCCTTCCTTGCCCACCCCATCCTTTCCATTCCTTTCCTGCTGTCGTGTCCTGGCACAACCGAGAAGAAATCCCAGCTAAGCATTTCCGGTCGCGTTCTGACGTCTCTTCTTCTGCTGCCTTCTACCATGTGCGTGTGTGTGTGTGTGTGTGACCTGTACATGTGTGTGACAAGGCCATTAGCCATGGCGGCTTTGGCAGCCACAAAAGTTGAGGGCCCGAGCGCCTTGCAGCTGCCATTTTATGACAGCCTTTTGTTGTCTGCCCCACCGGCAGCCGCCCCTCCCCCAAATGCCTGCCAGCAGCTGCCACTTGGCAGCTTGTTTACTGCCACACAGCAGTCGGCCGCAACAGCCAGCCGTGAGCGTCATGGGTTATTAGCAGACTTTCGGGTTGAATCAAATGACAAACTGACCAAACCAATTTCCAATTTACAATTCCCATTAGCCCATTCCGAATGCAATGGTTCCATAAAGTCAGTGTGTCATTGACTCAAAGGATTAATGAGTCAGAAATCAGAGAGTAGCTATCCTTTTCATTAGGGAAACCGAATGCCGTGCAGGCTGGCATTTCGATTCCTGAAGAATTGAAGCGGATTTTTCGCCATCTTTAATCTAGAGAATGAAAAGGAAATGCATTCTGGGTCTCACATCTCTGAAACTCCTCTCACTCTCTTCTGTCTGGATTCCTTTCAGGTGGCAGCCTCAGCAGCAGCAGCCCCAGCAGCGGTGGCACCCTGGACGGCATCATCAGCGGCGGCGGCGTTAGCAATGCGGACTGTCCCACGGACCTGTTCCGCTGCAACAACGGGAAATGCATCTCGCACCATTGGGTCTGCAATTACCAGAAGGACTGCGACGACGGCGAGGACGAGATGCAGTCATGTCGTAAGTGTCCATCAACAAAATAATTACCAATTAACAATCGGATATGCATTGAATTCATTGAATGTGCCCGCAAAAAAAAAAAAGAGTTGAGAGGAAATTAACGAAAATTTCGAGCATTCAGGGAGGTGCAAAAGATTGCATTCCCAGAAAACGAAACCCAAAATCGGTTAAAAAAGGTATATTTAAAGCAGTTCAAGCTACTTTGCAGGGTACTGCTTGGAACAAGCATTTTAAGCAACTTTTTCCAAGGTATATTCAGAGGAACTAAACCATTACGGTCCGCTCTTGAACGGCTTGTGCGATTTTGATGATGGAAATTATTATTATGTTTTTCATCTGGTTGTTACTCCAAAAGAAGACACCCGGAACTGTGTAAAACGATTGCGCAGTTCTTAGGCAAATCCCGAAAGCACCGATCAGCACTTTCGGATGAGCGGAATATTCAATATTTGCCTCGTTCTCAAATACGAGACTGGGAGACGAGGTGGATGTTAATACTCGATGTACTTGTTTGGAATTTCTGGAACTATCGAATTTTCGAACATTTCTGGAAAGTCCTATGATATACAAATAATACTCGTATAAGCCGGTCGTCTACGTCTAGCATTTCTTGAACCCTAACTCAATTTGATCTTCGGTTTCAGCCCCGCCCGAGTGCGAGACGCCTCAACTGAACTGCGGACAGTACGTGTTCAACAAGACGTACTGCATTCCCCCGCACTACCGCTGCGACATGATCGAGGACTGCGAGGACAAGTCGGATGAGGCGCAGTGCAGTAAGTACACACACAAAACATACACATACACATACACATGCACATACAGGGAGTACACACGGTCCGGGATGTGTGTGGGGTGTGTCCCCCCAAAAGTACGCGTACAACCAAATTCAATCCCGAGTCAGGGCTGAGGGAATGGCTAAAGGAGCGTGCCTTTTCTCGCTTTCAATGTAAATTTGTTGACTCGACAAATATTGGTTAGGTTAGCTCGGCTCATCCTCGTCCTCGCTCCCGTCCCCATGCTGGTTACAGGCAGCCAATCCTTTCCCTTCTCGGTTCTCGGGAAGGACCAACAATTTGCTTAGCAAAATGTTTACATTTTATTATACCAATTTCTATTTATGCAAATTTCAACAAATTCACATGCTTAGAGAGGCCGCCCAGACCGCAGCTCTTGTGTTGTCCTGGTTTTTGCTAACCTTTACTACACAAATACAGTACATACGCACACACATGCATAGAGAGAGAGAGGGAGCTAGATGGACAGACAGACAGGGCATATAGAGCCCTGCGGACGGAGCTCAGGTAGGGGCAAGGAAAGGGGCAGGGACAGGGGCTGCAAATTAGCAAAGGAAACTCAGCTCCACTCAACGCAGCAGCAGCTCCGACTTCGATTCGAGGCCAGGAATTGATCAATTTGATGCCGGGCCATAAATAGTTGTCTTGTGCGTGGCATTTGGGGGGTGGGTGGTGGCCAAAGGCAAGGGTTTCGACCCTTTCGTTATCTCCATGGGTGGTCCAGCTCCACCTGGGGAATGTACTGTTAATAATGATTTCTGCTGTTGAGAATTTCATGAATTCAATCAGAAATTACGTGCTCGAATATGTACATACAGGAGTGAATACCTTCAGAGCTTCTTCAAGGATATTAAATGGATACTGTTTGGAAAATATACTAAAGAAAAACGAGTATGTGAAGGGAGGCGCCGAATAAAGATACAAAAGATCCATTGGAGAGAGAATACAAGATGCATTGACAGGGGGGGGATGAGGATAATATTTTCGATACAGAAATCGGCTGGAAAACGATGCAAATGCAAGCATTTAATGGGAGGTATATTTAGAAGTAAGAATGTAAATACAAAATCTAAGAATTTTCTACTAAGAAATTATATAAAACATAAGAAAAATAAGTGAAGAAGAAACTACAGATGATCTCTTCTCGCTGATCTTCTCGCTGAACTTATCGCTCGTCTTCTCGCTGGTCTTCTAGCTCACCTTCTCGCTGTTCTTCTCGCTCGGCGTCGTCCCCTATCATTGATACAGAAATATTGCAGAAGTATTATTGAGTATATCCATGGCTATCTATTAAATATTTGACTCTTCTCCCTGTCTGTCTTTAATTACCATTTTTGTGCGTATGTGGGGCAATCCTTGCGGGAGCGAGTACCGCTGATGACTTTAATAATCCACTGACAGACTCTCACGGTCTATGGCCCACATAGAGGCTTCCCGTCCGCGTGCTGCTCCTCCTGCTCCGCCTCTTCCTGGTGGCATGTTGTCTGCTCGTTGAGCAAAGAATTTAATGCATTTTCAAGAGCTCTCCGCTGGTCTCGCTCGGCTGGACTTTGTATAGTGGAAAGCTCTCTTCTCGCTCTCTGTTCTGTCACCCCACACTCTCTCGCTCTCTCGCTCCCACTCTCTCACTCGCTCTTTAGCATAAAGTTCAAGTGCATTCAGCTGGCAGACTGTGTGCCGTGCCGCACATTTTGATTAAAAGTTTTGGCCAGAGAATGCGGGAATCAGCAGCAGCAGCAGCAGCAGGGGCAGTGGCAGAAGCGGAAGCGATGCAGCGGCGGGGTGGCGGGGTGGCGGGGCGGCATGGACATGCAAATCGCCAAAAAGTGCCCAGGACTTGTAGAAGAGCATTTATTGCTTGTTATTTAAGATTTATGTATGCACACACAGCACAGGCACAGACACAGACACAGACACAGACATGCAAACAAATATTTAAATATCTTTGAGGCGACCAATTTCTAAGTACCCGCCCCGCCCCCCCGTCGAGCACCGCTCGCTGCCTTTTGTACAACTTCTGCTGAAAGCTTTGACGACTCTGACGGCTAGACAAACGCGGCGCAACTTTGTCCTGCACTCCGGCGGGAATCTCCCTCTCGCCCTCCCTCTCGCTGGCCCTCTAAGCTCTGCGGCACTTCGCGACGAGACGAGGATTGGAGCAGGGACGGGGGACGGGGGACGGGGGCGAAGGGGCTCAGGCTAGATGGGCAATTTGTCGACGGACGGACAGACAGACACACAGACGGCCGTCGGCTTTACTCCTTTGGCGCAAAACTTTGTCGTGCCGCAGCCCAAACCCAAACCCAAACCCAATCCCAAAGCCAAAGCCAAAGCTCTGGCAAAGCAGAGCAGAACCGAGCAGAAAGCGCACAAGATCAAGTTTAAATTTCATTTTAATTTAATAAGACGTTGCCGTAAAGAGAGCTCTCTCACTCTCACTCCCACTCCCACTCCCACTCGCCCTCTCCCTCGCCCTCTCCACGGTGTCTGCTGTGCCCTTGCGCAATAATTTATCGCGCTTAAATGGCGACAAAATGTTCACTCTTATTGCGTTCTTAACAAATTTATTTTGCGTACGTGTCAACGCGTCGTCGTCGTCGTCCCTGTCACAGGGACGTCCTTGTCGTCCTCATCGTCTTCTTCAACGTCAGGAGGCGCAGTCAGTGACAGTGACTGTTTCTGTCCTGTCCCGTTCTGTCCCGTCCCGTCCCTTCCAGTACCCAACGCAACCATATCATTTTCTCTACTTCTAGTTCTGATGCCCCCCTCTATTCCCTCCTCCTCCCCCCCTCTCGACCCTCGGGTGGGGTAGGGGGCTGTCAGCACTGTGCCTTTGTTTGCTTAATTTATGGCATATAAATATTAGAGAGGGCTTATTTCAACTATTTAATTACTTCAGGTGTTGTGCGGGCTGTCTGGGGGGCTGGCTAAGTGTGTGTGTGTGTGTGTGTGTCTCTGAGGGGGGGTGGTGCGGTGTGGGGAGTGGCCTTAGAAGATAATCCATTTGTATAAGATGATAAATAAATATATGATAATTTATGTCCATATATGTACTGTTAAATGTTAAATAACTACATTGATAGACATAGTAGGAAGACATTTGCACATACACACTGCATATTTCTGTTGCTCCCAACGATGCATGGAACATGCTTGAATCTGGATCCAAGCCCATGGGATAGTGGCAATCATGCTTGAACTGAAGCGCTTGACAATGGGGACATTCTGGGCACCAATCAGCACTTTCGGATGAGCGGAATATTCAATATTTGCCTCGAACTCGTCTGCGAGACCAAGAAACGACTAAAACATGGCGGGTTCCGACTCGAACGGGGCAATGGATGTCGACAATCCTTGATCTTCGACTGATCTGCTTACGTTATGCCTAATGTATGCCACATCCAGGCCTTAGCCTTCCTGCAGCCTTCACTTGGGTGGACTTCTATCATTCGCGGCTTCCACAATTCAACAGCTAGAACTGGGGAAATCTTCATCTTCTGTTTTTCCGACCATCAAACAACAACCTTCTGTCCACCAAACCAACCGATTGAACGTGATGTGTAAATAGGCATTATCTTAGATGCCTATCTTGATCGCAAAGAAGGTAGCAAACTTCGAAAAGCCAGGAGGATCCACAACGTTATTCTTACGAGATTTCCTCACTGTCGATAGTCCAATGTGACCCCAACCCCACAGCCTCCTCTCGTGCCTGTGCTTCCCCTTACGCATCAGCATCGACATCGACTTTGGCTGCACTTAAAGAAGATACGGGTAACATAACCCGGAGTGTGGCATGGATACGGGATTACGAGAGGGGACATTTGCCGTTTTAATTGCAGGCAGCTGGCAGCTGGCAGCAGGCAGCACGTCTAATGAGGCAGATATTGCTGTGTAAAAAAGTGCGTAAAGCCAAGAAGAAGAGAAGCCGACAGCTTAACTGGCTCCCAGCACCCAGGCGGATAACTTAACGTCCTCCCCATTCAAATGTTGTCCATAAACTGTTGTCCCACCGCCCCCAAGCCCCACCCCACCCCACCGAAACCTCTCTGCCGTAGTTCTATCTGAGCTCGAGTCGTGGCTTGCGGGTGCTACTGTGACTGTGACTGTGACTACTGTACCGACGATTCCAGCTGACGTTTATTTGACTGCAGCTAAACGTGACGCGAATGGGGCGGTGGTGCGGTGGGGCGGTGGGGCGGTGGGGCGGTGGATGTGCTGGCATGATGGCTGGGCGTGGCACTTGTCGCGCGTAATTACACAGCAGCACCCAGCACCCAGCGCCCAGCGCCGAGTCCCCGCTCAGCCCTCGGCCCACACCTCAATACACAGGCATTAAAAGTCCTGGCTTGCAATAAAAGTTAATGCAGAGAACACAGAGCCCGGAACCCAATTAGAAAGTGTTTGGTTTAAAAAAGCTCAGCTACTAGGAGGTGGAGCAGTGTGGTGAGAGGAGGGAGCGGGGGGCGGGGAGCGTGGAGCGTGGAGCGCGCGGTAGTGCGGGATAAAGCTGTGTCAGTGTTGTTGTCGTCCGTGGTGTTTATAAAGTGCCAACAATGCAACGCCCTGCTCTCAGCTCCTTCTGCTCTCTTACGAGTTCCCGCCTCCCACGCTCTCCGCCCTCTCCGCCGGTTAAAGTTCTACGCCGAACTTTTGCCTTCTAACGGAACCGGGTGAAAAATGAAGCTGAAGCAGTTACAACTTTTATGACCTTGTGCCGGCACCCAACTTGAGAGAAAGAGGATTTACTATACTATAGGGTATAGCCCAGAAGCCTCAGAAGCTTGGATTCCTGCATGGAACGTAAGGCTGGAGTATTCGCGGATCAGATGCCTAATTAATCAGCTATGGAATATCCACTGAAATCGGAGCTATTGCATCAATGGGCGCGCTTACCAGCAGAATGTATCATGCGTCGATATTGGGAGTCCTCTGAACCCATCGACATAGACTTCAGACTATACGAAAACGGATGGAAATATTTGTACGCTCCATTTCTGAAAGTCTGATGCACGAAAATTCATCCATCATTAACACTAATCGTGTGCGTTCCATCGTTAGAAATCCTTCACTGATCCCGGAAGAAAATGTGCCGGTTCCGCTCCTGGAATTGCCCGACTTTTACAATTTATGTAAACTGTCGAAAACAGTCGAAAAAAAATCGACTACTTTGCTGAAACTTTTTATTTTCGTTTCAAAGTCACATTTCCTTTAATAGTTTCCGGACTTTCAGACAGGTTCTTCTTGCCTTGGTTTCTGGTCTGGTTCATGGACTCATTGAAAATAAATACGCGATTAGGTTGGGATATGGGTAGTCTTCTGGGGAATGGCCCTTGGCCTAACAAGGTAGTCTTCGAGGGTCCTCTTTGCCCAGCTCGTTGGACCAGAAAATGTGGAATAAGAACAACAGAATACAAATGATTTCACAGCCTCTACAAAATGCTCTAAAAACAAAACTCAAAATTTGAGAAGAAACCTCAAGAAATGACGATCAAAATACTAGATTCGCATCGATAGCTCTCTAAATAAAGATTTGTCATATATAACTGTTGATGTTTTATATAGAAAAACGATCTTCAAACAAAATCACTGTACGGGAAATTACGCTATTTTGATGAAATGTTTATTTTTTGTATTATTATTATTTTTGATCAATTTTTCGAATATATTTGGCCACGTTTTTTTTAAGATTTCGGAGTTTTTTCTTTGTAAATTGTGAAATTGAGGATCATTCTAGAAACATGTTAATGGGGACTGTCATGGCTATCTCTCTCTCTCTCTCTCTCGCTCTCTTTTCGCTCTTGTTTGCGAGTATTTTGTACTTTAATTTGGAATGAAACGAGTATCCTTCGCATAGATCCTCCTAACGCTAGGGTATACGAAGGAGAAGACCAAAAGTGTGGCTGCAAATCGCCAGATGGCCACGCCCCTCGTTTGTCATTATGATTTGCTTCTAATGTAATGCAATGGGAAAGGAAACAGGAAACGGGGATATGAAAACGAAAGGAAGGGAAGGGAAGGGAACAGAAAAGGCAACAGGGGAGGAGAGTGGAGTGGAGTAGAGGGGAAAGAGTAAAGAGCAGAGGAATTTGCAACAAATTGTTGGCGTAAATCCTTGCCCAACGGTACGCCCACAAATTGCAACTGGAACGGGACTTGGATTAGAGAATGTTAATTCCAGAGAGAGGATGAGGAGGAGGAGGAGGAGGAGGGGGAGGAAGGGAGCTGCTGGATGCATGGATGCAGGAGTGCGTGACACATTTTTATGATTACCAGAGTCGACAGAGGGACAACCACGGGCATCCGCATCCCATCCGCATCCCGTACCCCCCCTCGATTGCTCCCCTTTGTCAATACAGACAGATAGAGAGGGAGAGCTCGAGTGCAGGTAAAGAGAGAAAGGGGGAGAGAAGGCAGAGAAGGCAGAGGGACACGCAGCAGCATTCCATTGTTGTGCTAGAGAAAGTTTCCGCTGTCGGGGAATGGGGAATATTTATACAACTTGCCTTGTTTAACTTGCACTAATTAAGTTTGCTCTGCCACACTCGGATGCTCCTCCAGGGGTCCTGCTCCCAGATCCACTCTGCCTCCCATTGCCCGGCTTCCGCGCTAATGTTCCGGGAGTTTATGTGGAGGCAACTATACCGAAACAACAACAACAACAGCATCAGCCGCAGCAGCAGCAGCAGCAACAGCAGGAGACATAAAATACTCGCCGCAAAGTTTATGACGTCTAAAGCCCCGACCCAAGGACGAGCATAGATCAAGCGAGCCCGTCTCTATCGTTGGCTCTCTATTCGTGAATACAAAAACCCAACATATGCACAGCCTTCAATGGAGGGACAGTGAAAGCCCTCATTCTGTGCCTGTGCCCCAAGGCCTTGAGGATTCCAAGTCTGGAATCAGCCTGGAAGATGAGTTGTTGTGCGAGCCTTGATGATTTTTGATCTCCGTCGTTCGACCAGCGAAGCGAGTGAGCCGGGGGTCGATGCACAAGTGAAGCGAGTGAGCCGGGGGTTGAAGCACAAGTGAAACGAGTGGGCGGGGGGTGTTTGCCCGACTAGTAACTGACATTGATTATAATCCTGCCCCTCCTGGGTTATGTCTCATGTCCGTCCCAGTAGACCCTTCACTGTACAGTCTAAACACACACACATACACACATATATCATGGTATTGTATAGGTCCTGATCCTGATGGCAGTTGCTTTAATTTAGTCATTCAAATGCACGACTTTCGCTGAGCAATGGGCCAGCAACCCGCTGCCTCTTTCTTGTTAACCGAAACCCTTGGCCGCCCCCCCACTCACACACACCCTCCCCCCACAGTGGTACCCTGTACTACTGTGCAGAGAACGGTATGCTGAACCTGTGAGACTTGGCATTTCCTTGGCTAATGTAATGTGGGTAATATTAGGGTATGCCCCATGTCTAGGCCATTCAGTATTTCCTTGTGTTTTCAGTGTGGTAGGGGGGGGGGGAAGGCAAAGGGTCCTGCAACCAACTACTCGATAATTTATAGCACTTTTGCCTGCCAACACACACACACACACACACACACCACTCAAGTGCACACAATACTCGTCCGGAGGTGGGGGCGGACAGACAGATGGAGAGACACACGGACATGAACACCCATTGGGCAGACAGACAATCACGCCCGACATTTGTACACCAACCATGCATTATGTATACGCCATGCGTGCCCAAAGCCCAAACCCAATCCCAGACCCAAACCCAAACCCAGGCCCAGACCCAAGCCATTCCATCAGAGAGGCAATACTTCTCTCCCGACTGTCTGGCATCAAAATTTAATGTCTTTGGCAGCACAAATAGTTTTGTTGGCACCCATTTTTAAGCCGACAATCCGAGACAGAGCGAGCGAGCGTTTTAACAATGCCTCCCGCTGGGCCTCCGTCGCTTTCTTGTCCATTGAGTTATGACCTCCCACGAGCTCCCGCTCTCCACTGGTGGGGGGGATAGAAATGGCGAGTGGGAATTGGGAAATGGAGAGCCGGCTTGTGGCCTGGACTCCTGGGAGTGGCCTTGGCTTAGGTGGCACGTCGCCGGCCTTCGTGTTGACCTGATGCAAAGGCAATTAATCACACCTGAAAGCGGACAGCAGCAGACATCTCCTTCTCGATGGTCTCCTAATTAAGTGCACTGACTAAAAGTGGGTCTTAAATTACATCTTCTCTTTCCATCCCGCAGCCTATCGGAAGTGCCAGCACACGGACGTCTTCTGCAATGCCCCCAATGGTGCTGCCCCCGCGGAGGGCACCCGCCTGGCCGGACCCTGCGTGCCCAAGGAAAAGCGCTGCGATGGCTACCTCGACTGCCGTACCGGACGCGACGAGGACGGCTGCAACGGAGTCGCCTGTCGCCTGGATCAGTTCCGCTGCGCCAACGGACACAAGTGCATCGATGCGGCCCTCAAATGCAATCATCGCGACGACTGCGGCGACAATTCGGACGAGCAAGGATGCAGTGAGTGCAGCACCACAGCCTCCAGCCCCCAGCACCTCCCCTCCCCTCCCCTCGCCTCCCCACCCAACCCACTTAAATCCACTGTTTTTTTTTCTGCAGACTTTCCGCCCTGCCATCACGCCCAGTTCCGGTGCACGAATGCCCTGTGCATTCCGTACAACTTCCACTGCGACGGCTACCACGACTGTGCGGACAAGAGCGACGAGGCCAATTGCACGGCCATCGCCTGTCCGGACAACAAGTTCCTCTGTCCGCGCGGCGGCGTCAACGGTGCCCCCAAGTGCATCCTGAAGTCGCAGCTGTGCGACGGTAAACGCGACTGCGAGGACGGTAGCGACGAGGAGACCAACTGCTGTGAGTGCCTGCCCCCCCCCCCCCCGTTTTCCTTTCTCTATATCCCGTTAATTGCTCTTTTCGTTCTGCTTCCTTCAGCCATCGCCTCCTGTCCGGCCCTCAGCTGCGAATTCAAGTGCGGACCCTCGCTGACGGGCGGCGTCTGTTACTGTCGGCCCGGCCAGTCCCTGGCCCCGGACAACCGCACCTGCGTGGACCTGGACGAGTGCGCCGAGTGGGGCCACTGCGATCAGCTGTGCACCAACACCCTGGGCTCCTACACATGCCAGTGCGCCCAAGGCTATACGCTGATCAACGAGTCCAAGTGCATCGCACCCAATGCCAACAACCTGCAGCTGATCTTCGCCCACGACCGGGCCATAATGCGGATGTTCGCCCACGGCGCCGATCCCCGGATCCTGGCGAACGCCACCGCCGCGGCGGGCGTCTCCTTCCACTATGCCCGGAACACGCTCTACTGGTCGGACATCAAGACGCGAAAGGTGCAGTCCCTGCCCCTGAATCCCCTCAACAAGGGCCTGTCCTCCTTCGACCAGACCCTGCCCGGCACCTGGGCACCGGTGGCTCTGGCCGTCGACTGGGTGGGCGACAAGATCTATGTGGCCGATCTGGTGGGCCAGAAGATCGACGTCTTCGAGCTGAGCGGCCAGTGGCACGCCGTCGTCCTGGGCTCGAACCTGACCAGTCCCGCCGATCTGGCGCTCGACCCCACCTCGGGCCTGATGTTCGTCGCCGACGGAGGTCAGGTGCTGCGCGCACATATGGACGGCACCCATGCCCGGTCGATCGTCTCCGAGGCGGCGTACAAGGCCAGCGGCGTGACCGTGGACATCATTGGCAAGCGGGTCTTCTGGTGCGACTCCCTGCTGGACTACATCGAGTCCGTGGACTACGAGGGCGCCCACCGCGTGATGGTGCTGCGGGGACAGCAGGTGCCGAGTCCGTCGCGCCTGGCGCTCTTCGAGAACCGCATCTACTGGACGGACGCCACCAAGCAGGGCATCATGTCCGTGGACAAGTTCGAGGGCCCCAGCTCCATTCAGGTGACGTACAAGGCCAAGGACATTCGCGAGCCCAAGGGCATCATTGCGGTGCACGCGCTCAGCCAGCCGCGCGTCTCGAATCCGTGCGGCAACAACAACGGCGGCTGCAACCACATGTGCATCGTGACCGCCGTGAAGGGGGCGCCCACGGGGCTGGGCTTCCGGTGCGCCTGCTCGACGGGTTACCAGCTGGAGACCGACCTGAAGCTGTGCAAGCCCGTAGGGGAGTTCCTCATGTACTCGCAGCAGCGTTTCATCAAGGGCAAGGTACTGGAGCCGGTCATCGAAGGATTCAGCGACGCCATCATGCCGGTGGTGTCGCGGAGGGCCCGCTTCGTGGGCCTGGACTTCGATGCGCGGGACGAGTTCATCTACTACTCGGACGTGCTGCAGGACGTCATCTATCGGGTGCACAGGAACGGCACTGGCCGGGAGATCGTCCTGGCCTCCCAGAACGAGGGCGTCGAGGGCCTGGCCGTCGACTGGGCCTCCAAGAACCTCTACTACATTGACTCCCGCAAAGGCACCCTCAACGTGCTCTCCACCCGCAACGTGACCCACCGCCGCACCCTGCTGAAGAACCTCAAGCGCCCGCGCGCCATCGTCGTCCATCCGAATCGGGGCTTCATCTTCTTCTCCGAGTGGGACCGACCGGCGAACATCACCCGCGCCAACACCGACGGCACTGGCCTGCTGGTCTTCAAGAACGTGACCCTGGGCTGGCCCAACGGCCTGTCCATTGACTTCAAGGAGGACCGCGTCTACTGGTGCGATGCCCTCCTCGATCACGTCCAGCACGCGAATCTGGATGGCACTGACATCAAGACCGTGAACTCCCGACTCGTCCGCCACCCGTTCTCCATTGTGATCCACAACGATTGGATGTACATCACGGACTGGCGGCTGGACGCCATCATCCGGCTGCACAAGCTCACCGGCGAGCAGGAGGAGATGATGGTGCGCGAGCCGCAAACGAATCGCCTCTACGGCGTCAAAGTCTACAGCCACGAGGTCCAGCGCATCGCGGACACACAGCCCTGCAATCGCAACAACGGCGGCTGCCAGAAGATCTGCTTTGCCGTGCCCATCGCCCCCCAGAATGCCACCGCCGGAGGAGCGGAGATTGCCCCCTCGGTTGGTCGCCTCCAGGCGCGCTGCTCCTGCCCCTACGGCGAGCGTCTCGCCGAGGATCAGATGAGCTGCGTCCCCGACCCCAGTGCCGAACCACCCGTCCAGCCGTGCCCCAACTCGTGGGACTTCACGTGCACCAACCAGCGCTGCATTCCCAAGTCCTGGGTCTGCGACGGCGATGACGACTGTCTGGACAACAGCGATGAAGAGCAGAACTGCACAAGTAAGTGGCACTCTATTCACTTTATTCCTCCAATCCCTAGACACATTTCAACCCAGATCACGGCAATATCCATGCTCAGAAATCCCCCAAAAAAGTTACAAGAGAGTAAGTTGTAGAGAAGAGAGTGTGCAAACGCAGAGCGGAAGACCTTTTCGGCTGGCAGTTCGACTCTCTTCGCAGCGCACTCGCTTTTTGGGAGTGATGAGTAACGGCCTTACAGTGTTAAAAGTGCCTTAAAAGTGTTTCAAAAGGCCGCTCATTCTTGAGGCATCCGGCGACTGAGATTTTGGGCCGTTTAGTTGAAATTTAAATTGAAAAGAAGAATTAGGAATATAGGGAATATAAGTATTTGAAGATCTGTCCCGTCGTTGCTGCATTTAACCATTGAAATGTATGGCCGTTACTCGTCTTACTATTAGATGTATTGTCTCTGTGGAACTGTCCTACCCAACACCTCTCTGATGTATTTACAATGGGGATATTCTCTAATGAACTCGCTTGAACTTGTTTTTACCGCAAAAAGAACCCACCTGTGGATCGAACGAGTTCCAGTGCAGATCGGGACGCTGCATACCGCAGAATTTCCGCTGCGACCAGGAGAACGACTGCGGGGACAACTCCGACGAGCTGGATTGCGGAAACGTGACCTGCGGCACCTCGCAGTTCGCCTGCGCCAACGGGCGGTGCATTCCGAACATGTGGAAGTGCGACAGCGAGAACGATTGCGGGGACAGCAGCGACGAGGGCGACTTCTGTGCGGAGAAGACCTGCGCCTACTTCCAGTTCACGTGTCCGCGAACGGGCCACTGCATACCGCAAAGCTGGGTGTGCGACGGCGACGACGACTGCTTCGACAAGCAGGACGAGAAGGACTGTCCGCCGATTAGCTGTCTGACCAACCAGTTCAAGTGCTCCGACCTGCGGCAGTGCGTGGAGGAGTCGTACAAGTGCGACGGCATACCGGACTGCAACGACGGCAGCGACGAGGTCGGCTGCCCCTCGATGGGGCCCAACCAGTGCAACCTGGAGAAGCACTTCCGCTGCAAGTCGACGGGCTTCTGCATACCGATCGCCTGGCACTGCGACGGCTCCAACGACTGCTCCGACCACTCGGACGAGCAGGACTGCGGCCAGATAACCTGCGCCCAGAACTTCTTCAAGTGCAACAACACCAACTGCGTGTTCAAGGCGTACATCTGCGACGGCAAGGACGACTGCGGCGACAACTCGGACGAGGGGGCGGAGCACGCGTGCGTGCCGCCGCCGTTCAAGTGCCCCCACGGCCAGTGGCAGTGTCCGGGCGTGAGCGAGCGCTGCGTGAACATCACCTCCGTCTGCGACGACACCCCCGACTGTCCGAACGGGGCCGACGAGGGCGAGGGCTGTGACCTGGCCGAGTGCGAACACCAGACGGGCCAGTGCTCCAGCTTCTGCCAGAAGACGCCCAACGGGGCGCTCTGCGTTTGCCCCCCGGGCTCGGAGATCGGCGAAGACGGCTTTACCTGCATCGACACCAACGAGTGCGATCCGCCCGGACTCTGCTCGCAGCAGTGCACCAACACGAAGGGCTCGTACTTCTGCTCGTGCCAGGACGGCTACGTCCTGGAGCCGAACAAGCACACCTGCAAGGCCGTCAACCACACGGCTGCCTTCCTGATCATATCCAACCGCCACTCCATCCTCGTGGCGGACCTCAAGGAGCAGGGCCTGGAGCGGGTGCCCATCATCGTGGAGAACGTGGTGGCCACCGCCTCGAACATGCACACAGGCACCATCTTCTGGAGCGACATGAAGCTGAAGAAGATCTCGCGCCTGGACCGCGGCATGGAGCCCCAGGAGATCATCAATACGGGCCTGGACCTGGTCGAGGGCCTGGCCTACGACTGGATTGCCCAGAACCTCTACTGGCTGGACAGCAAGCTCAACACCATCGAGGTGTCCGCCGAGAATGGCTCGAACCGACTGGTCCTGGTGCGGGAGAACATCACACAGCCGCGCGGCATGTGCATCGATCCGAGTCCTGGGGCGCGCTGGATCTTCTGGACCGACTGGGGGGAGAACCCGCGCGTCGAGCGCATCGGCATGGACGGCACTATGCGGAAGACGATCATCAACACGAAGATCTACTGGCCGAATGGCCTCACCCTGGATATAGCCACCAAGAGGGTCTACTTTGCCGACTCAAAGCTGGACTTTATCGACTTTTGCTACTACAACGGCACCGGGCGGCAGCAGGTGCTGGCCAGCAGCCACTACCTGCTCCATCCGCACTCGCTGTCCCTCTTCGAGGACACACTGTACTGGACGGACCGACAGCTGAACCGCGTGCTCTCCGCGAACAAGTTCCGGGGCAAGAACCAGACGGTCGTCTCCCATCTGATCAGCCAGCCGCTGTCCATTCACGTGCACCACGCCAGCCTGCAGCCGATGCACCCGAACCCCTGTGCCCAGGCTAAGTGCCAGCACCTGTGCCTGCTCAGTCCCAGCGTCACCGAGGGCTACTCGTGCAAGTGCAAGCCCGGCTTCAAGCTACTCAGTGAGGGGCGGTGCATCGAGGAGGAGAACCCCTTCCTGATGGTCGTCAAGGGCACGCAGATCGTGGACCTGCCGCTCAACGGCGGGGATGCTCGGGCCGGCGCCCTGGCCCCCGTCATCGGCATCGAGAGCAGCACCGGCCTGGACTTCGATCGCAAGGGCGAGACCCTGTACTGGGTGCAGGGACGCGAGGACGACGACGAGAACTGCACCATTTACACGACGCCCTACGGCGGCGGCAACAAGACCCTCTTCCTGGGGGCGGACAACGGGATTGTGGGGGCGCCGTACACGATCGCCTTCGACTGGCTGGGCCGGAATCTGTACATCGGCAACCGGGTGGCCAGCAACATCGAGGCCGTGCGGGTGGACGGCAAGCAGAAGTACCGCACTATAATCTTGGCCAACGACGGCTACCCCAACTCGGTGTCCAGGCCCAAGCAGATCGTCCTGGATCCCAGCGAGGGAAAGCTCTTCTGGATCGACAACGGAGTGCTCGAGGTCCCGGTGAAGATCGGCCGCGTTGACATGAACGGACAGAATGCGCAGCTTCTGTTCCAGGACCTCACCCATCCGGAGAGCATTGCCGTGGACATTGATAAGAAAATGCTGTACTACAGCTCCAGCAACCCGCCCGTCATCGGCTCAATGGACTACAACGGGGAGGACCACACGATCATCATGACCGACGGCCATCCCATTGCCAAGCCCCGCAGCCTGGGGATCCTCGACCACCGGCTCTACTACCTGGATCCCGTCTACGAGAAGATCGTGCGCGTGGACCTGCCGAATGGGGACAACCGCAAGACCATCGTTGACAACGAGCCGGATCTGCGCTCGATGATGATCTACAAGAAGCGGGCCACCATGCAGCACCCCTGCCAGACGAACAACGGTGGCTGCAAGCACCTGTGCATCCCGGGGCCGGCGGCCACTCGCACCTGCGCCTGCGGCATCGGGTACCGCAAGGAGAACGAGATCAACTGCGTGGCCTACAAGACATTCGCGGTCGTCTCGCAGCTGGACATGATCCGCGGCTACAGCCTGAGCGACAGTTCCGAGGCGATGGTCCCCGTCAGCGGACCGGGCCACCATATCCTCCACGTGGACGTCATGTACCGCGAGCAGTGGATCTACTGGGCGGAGTTCAATCGCGGCTACTGGAACGGCATCTTCCGGTCGCGTCCGAACGGCACCGACTTGCAGCATGTGGTCAAGGACGGTATTGGGAGCAACGGCATCCGGGGCCTCACCATCGACTGGGTGGCGGGCAACATGTACTTCACCAATGTGTATCCGCACGAGAACTACGTGGAGGTCAGCTGGCTGGACGGCAGCAACCGCAAGGTGCTCGTGAAGACCACCAACGATGCCCCGCGAGAGCTGGCCGTGGACCCCATCAAGCGGCTGCTCTACTGGATCGACTACGGCCAGCATCCGCGGATCGGCAAGGCCCTGCTCGACGGCAGCAAGTGGACACCCCTGGTCACCTCGGGCATATCCCTGCCCCGCGACCTCACCATCGACATGCAGACGCACGACATCTATTGGGTGGACTCGAAGCTGGACACCATACAGAAGATCTCGTACAGCGGGGCGAACCGCAAGGTCATCCGGCGGGACCTGCCCAGCCCCATGGGCATTGCCGTGTACCTCAACGACGTCTACTGGGTGGACCGCAACCTGATGACCGTCTTCAAGGCCTCCAAGCACAACACCAACGACTCCGTGGTGACGCGGGTGCGCACCAACCTGGAGAAGCTGCGCGACATCGCCATCTACAACATCAACAACCAACCGCAGGACGACACCAATCCCTGCGCCCATCTCGGGAACGGCGGCTGCGACCAGCTCTGCTTCAGCTTTCCCCCGGACTCGGGCGCCAGCACGGGAGGACGCAACTTCAGGTGCGAGTGCGCCACCGGGAAGCTGGGGGCAGACGAGCGGAAGTGCGAGTCGGTCAACGAGTATCTGGTGTTTGCCACACGCACGGAGATCCGGGCCGTCAACCTCGACCCCCACTCGACGGAGGTGCCCTTCACGCCGCTCACGAACCTCACGAATGTCGTGGGCCTGGACTTTGACTTTGCTGACAACCGAATGCTGTACACGCAGATCCGGCCGTGGGCCAAGATCGCCTACACGAAGGCCAACAAGCCGAGCCACAGCGACATCACGGTGGTCCTCAACAAGGGCATCAATCCCGAGGGCATCGCCTACGACTGGACCCAGCACAAGATCTACTGGACGGACAGCTCGAACAACTCCATTTACGCGATGAATCTCGACGGCACCGAGCTGGTGATGATTGCCCGAGTCGAGAGGCCGCGGGCGATCGTCCTGGACCCCTGCAACGGCACACTGTTCTTCACCGACTGGGGCCGCTTCGGCACCTCCGGCAAGATCTTCCGCACGACGATGGCCGGCTCCCTGAAGCGGGCCATTGTGGACAAGGACCTGTCGCAGCCGAGCGGCCTGGCCATCGACTATGACGAGCGACGCCTCTACTGGACGGATGCCGTGCGCGAGAAGATCGAGCGAAGTGACCTGGAGGGTCGCAACCGAGAGCTCCTGGTGGCGGCCACCATCTACCCCTTCGCCATCACCGTCTTCCGCAACTACATCTACTGGACGGACCTGCAGCTGCGCGGTGTCTATCGGGCGGAGAAGCACACGGGCGCCAACATGGTGGAGATGGTGAAACGGCTGGAGGACTCGCCGCGCGACATCCGCATCTACAGCGCCGACAGGCAGAAGTGCGACGTCAATCCCTGCCGGATCAACAACGGCGGCTGTGCCCAGAGCTGCCACCCGGCGCCCAACGGCAAGGCCGAATGCAAGTGCGACGACAACACGAAGGTCGTGAACGAGGGACGGATGTGCGCACCGCGCAACAACACGTGCGAGGCGAGCAAGTTCTACTGCCAGAACGGACGCTGCATCTCGAGGATGTGGTCGTGTGACGGGGACGATGACTGCGGCGACAACTCGGACGAGGATCCCAACTACTGCGCCTACCACTCGTGCTCGCCGAACGAGTTCCGCTGCAACAACGGACGATGCATCTTCAAGTCGTGGAAGTGCGACCACGAGAACGACTGCAAGGACGGCTCCGACGAGCTGGGATGCACATATCCGCCCTGCGTGGACGGGGAGTTCACGTGCGGCAACGGACGGTGCATACCGCAGGCGCAGGTCTGCAACGGGGTGAACGATTGCAAGGACAACGCCACCTCCGACGAGACGCACGAGCGCTGTCCCATGAACACCACCTGTCCGGCGAACCATCTCAAGTGCGAGAAGACCAACATCTGCGTGGAACCGTACTGGCTATGCGACGGCGACAACGATTGTGGCGACAACTCCGACGAGGATCCGTTGCACTGCGGCCAGCGCACGTGCCCCACCAACAGCTTCCGTTGCCCCAACCACCGCTGCATACCCGCCACCTGGTACTGCGACGGCGACGACGATTGCGGTGACGGTGCCGACGAGCCGCCAGATTACTGCAAGTCCGAGGGTCGCACCTGCTTCGGGGACCTCTTCACCTGCGACAATGGCAACTGCATTCCGAGGATCTACATATGCGACGGAGACAACGACTGCCTGGACAACAGCGACGAGGACAATCGCCATCAGTGCAGTGAGTATCCATCCCAGATGGATGGGAGTCCCAGATGGCACCTGTTTACCTATTTATCCCCTTTCAGATGATCGCAAGTGCGACGAGGAGACGGAGTTCACGTGCGTGGAGAACAAGTCGTGGCAGCGGGCACAGTGCATACCCAAGAAGTGGATCTGCGATGGTGACCCCGACTGCGTGGACGGAGCCGATGAGAACACCACCCTGCACAACTGTGCCACCCAGCAGCCCTGCGGCGAGGACATGTTCACCTGCGGAAACGGCAGGTGCATCAACAAGGTACGTTTCCCGCCCACCCACTTATTGCCCCTTATTTTCTAAGCCCTCTCTGCGTATGTTGCAGGGCTGGCTCTGTGATCACGACAACGACTGCGGTGACGGCACCGACGAGGGCAAGTTCTGCAACTCAAAGTACAAGACCTGCTCGCCCCAGGAGTTCACCTGCCAGAACTTCAAGTGCATCCGGAACCAGTACCGGTGCGATGGCGAGGACGACTGCGGCGATCATTCGGACGAGGTGAACTGCAAAAAGGACAACGTCACCTGTCCGCAGGGTCAGTTCGCCTGCACCAACGGACAGTGCATCGACTACAGCCTAGTGTGCAACAAGTACCCGGACTGCTCGGACGAGTCCGACGAGCCCGCCCACTGCAACGTGGACGAGTGCGCCAAGGTGGAGATCAATCAGTGCGGACACAAGTGTGTGGACACCCTCACCAGCTACTACTGCGACTGCAACGAAGGCTACAAGTGAGTGCCAACAAAGGGGTGACCGAGGGCTGCTAAAGTCCTAAAGTTAGCGAATAAGTATAGCGAACGATGCTCTTCTAAGCTCGATTGCACTCCCGTTTTGTGTGTTCTCCGAGGGGTATGTGCAGGGCTACAATCTTGCGGCAGAAAGTACTACAACGGTAGTTGCACTTTTCTCGATTCCGAACACATAGCATCTGAGTCATGTGTGACTTTGGGCGCATGACAATATGGGCATTGTTTGTCCATAGCATTAATCAGCACTTTCGGATGAGCGGAATATTCAATATTTGGTTCCAACTGGCATGCAAGTTTCTTGCTTTACTAACACATTCACAAATTATTGTAAAATTGCAGAATTAGTAGTAGAAACCTTAATCACCCTCTCCCCATTCCCCCCTCTCAATCCATCAACAGACTCTTGGCCGACGGCAAGGCGTGCGCGGATGTGGACGAGTGCCTGGAGCAGCCGGGTGCCTGCTCGCAGCACTGCTCGAATACGCCGGGCAGCTTCTACTGCAAGTGCGACGAGACCTACTACGAGCGGCAGAACGACGAGCACACGTGCAAGCGGAAGGACAACATACCGCCGTGGCTGATCTTCACCAACAAGTACTACGTGCGCAACATGTCCGTGGACGGCCACCAGTACAACCTGATGCACCAGGACCTGATGAACGTGGTGGCCCTGGACTTCGACATCCGCGAGGAGTACATGTACTTCTGCGACGTGACGGCCAAGACCATATTCCGGGCCAAGTACACGAGCCCCGAGGACGAGACGCCGCCGGAGCGCGAGGCCGTCATCCGGCACGACTCGCACGGCCTCGAGGGCATCGCCATCGACTGGGTGGGCCGCAAGCTGTACTGGCTGGACCGCCACTCGAAGAACCTAGACGTGTCCGAGCTGGACGGCACCAAGCGGAAGACCCTGCGCAGCGGCGTTGTCGATCCCCGAGCCATTGTCGTGCACCCGGGCATCGGGTACCTGTACTTCACCTCCTGGCATCTACAGGCCTACATCGCCAAGATGGGCATGGACGGATCGAACTTCACGCGCATCCTCAACTGGAACGACGGCATCGCATGGCCCAATGCCCTGTCCATCGACTACTTCACGGACCGCATCTACTGGGCGGACGCCCATCTCGACTACATCGCGTACGCCGATCTGGAGGGGCGACACCGACACACGGTGCTCTCGGGCAACCGGGTGCCACACGTGTTCGCGCTGAGCCTGTTCGACGACTTCATTTACTGGAGCGACTGGAACCTGAAGGCCATTGTGCGGGCCAACAAGTTCCACGGAGCCAACTACACCGTCCTGAGGAACACCACCCACCGACCCTACGACATACATATCAACCACCCGCTCCGGCAGCTGCCGTACACGAACCCCTGCGGCACCAACAACGGCGGATGCTCGCACCTCTGCCTGATCGCCCCGCCGCCCGAGTCCACGTACCTCAACATCGAGGGATACATCGAGGAGGGGGCCCCCATCTACAAGTGCGCCTGCCCCAACCAGTTCTACCTGGCACGCGACTCGAAGACCTGCATCGCCAACTGCACGGCGGGCCAGCACCTGTGCGGCGGCCGGGACGAGAAGTGCATTCCGTGGTTCTGGAAGTGCGACGGCGAGAAGGACTGCAAGGACGGCAGCGACGAGCCGGCGACCTGTGCCCCCAGGCACTGCCGCGCCGGCACCTTCCAGTGCAAGAACACCAACTGCACGCCCTCGGCCACGATCTGCGACGGCGTCGACGACTGCGGCGATCGCAGCGACGAGCAGAACTGCGAGCTGCCCTGCCCCCTGTCCGACTTCAAGTGCAAGTCCAGCGGTCGCTGCATCCTCGACAGCTGGCGCTGTGACGGCGATGCCGACTGCAAGGACGGCAGCGATGAGGACCCAGCCGTATGCTGTAAGTTTATCTGTGGCTTAAGTGTTCTCCTGGAACCTTAAGATGATCGATTCCCACCATACTCAACCGCTTCAATCTGCATCCATCTATCCCATTCTCAGTCAAGCGAACGTGCGACCCCAAGACAGAGTTCGCGTGCAAGAACGGACGCTGCATACCGCAGCTGTGGATGTGCGACTTCGACAACGACTGCGGCGACGACTCCGACGAGCCCGCGTACATGTGCCGGCAGAGGAACTGCACCACCGGCTGGCAGCGCTGTCCGGGACAGTCCAACTACCGCTGTATTCCCAAGTGGCTGTTCTGCGATGGCAAGGACGACTGTCGCGACAACAGCGACGAGCTGCCCGAGAACTGTCCCAAGTGCTCGGCGGAGACCGATTTCAAGTGTGGCAACAACCGATGCATACCCAAGTGAGTACCAGTGCACTCCCAGTGGTGCAACGGGGGCTACAGAGAGTCTCAACGATATTTAATTTAATGAGAAAATCAGAAAAATCTTTCCAAACCGAAAGATCCAATCAGCTGTGCTGTGCCTCGAAAGCTCAGCTTTGTTTGTTTGATCAGCTGTTTTTATCAGCTGATATCTGCCATCAATATTATGTTACCGCTGTGCCAGCTATAGACTGTACCTAATCCTTACCCATTCTCCACCTCCCTCCACAGGCAATGGATGTGCGACTTTGCGGACGACTGCGGCGACGCCACTGACGAAAACGAGGCAATCTGCAAGGGACGCTACCGGGAGTGCTCCGAGTCGGAGTTCCGCTGCGGCAACGGCAAGTGCATCTCGTCGCGTTGGCAGTGCGATCATGAGGACGACTGCGGCGACAACTCGGACGAGATGCACTGCGAGGGCTACCAGTGCAAGAACGGGACGTTCCAGTGCGCCTCGGGCCACTGCATTGCTTCCTACTTCCGCTGCGATGGGGACCGCGACTGCCGCGACATGTCCGACGAGGTGGGCTGTCCGCCGCGCTTCCCCGGCGGCCGCTACTGCCCGGAGTCCCGCTTCCAGTGCAACAACAACCTGTGCGTCTCCCTATCGGACCTGTGCGACGGCACCGACGACTGCGGCGACGGCAGCGACGAGGACCCGAACGTGTGCAGCGACTTCAACTGCGACACTCTGCGGCGCTTCCAGTGCGCCAACCATCGGTGCGTGGCCCGCTACCAGATCTGCGATGGCGTCGACAACTGCGGCGACGGCAGCGACGAGAACAACATGACCCTCTGCGCCAGCAAGCAGAAGCCCTGCGACCTCTACACGCAGTTCCAGTGCGCCAACAAGCACTGCATCGAGCGGTCGCAGGTGTGCGACTTCTCCGACGACTGCACCGACGCCAGCGACGAGCTGGGGTGCCACCACACGGCCAGCTGCTCGGAGCAGAACCGCGGCGGGTGCCAGCACCACTGCCACAACCTGACGGACGGCGGTTACATCTGCACCTGCTATCCGGGCTACATCATCTCCCACGACAACAAGAAGAGGTGCGCGGACGTCGACGAGTGCCTCACGCGGCAGCACACCTGCTCGCACCAGTGCCACAACCTGAACGGCACCTATTCGTGCAGCTGCCGCGAGGGCTTCCGCCTGGCGGACGGCGCCAGCGGCGTATGTCGGGCGGAGAAGGAGGACGTCGTGCTGGTGTTCGCCAACGGCCAGGAGATACGCGGCCTGGACCTGCAGAAGCGGGAGGAGTTCGACGTGATTGCCGCGGAGAAGCGCATCGAGGCGCTCGACTACGACGCCCAACAGCAGATCATCTTCTGGGCGGACAGCTACGACAAGACGATCAAGCGCTCCTACATGGTGAACGCCATCGATGGGCGGGCCAAGATCGGCTTCGCCCAGGACCTGAACATGAAGGGCGGCTCCAAGCCGACGGCCGTGGCCGTGGACTGGCTCGCCTCGAACCTCTACTGGACGGAGATGGACCGGACGGGATCCAAGCCGCGCGGACGCGTCATGGTGGCCAAGACAGACGGTCGCTATCGTCGCTCCATCGTGAACGCTGGCCTGGAGGTGCCCACCTCCATAGCGGTGAACCCCCAGCTGGGACGCATCTACTGGTCGGATGCGGGCTCAGCGCCCAAGATCGAGGTCTCCTGGATGGACGGCTCCAAGCGACGACCCCTCATCACTGAGCAGATTCGACATCCCGCCGGCCTGACCATCGACTACTCGCAGGACCACATCATCTACTGGGTGGACACCAAGCTGAACGCCATTGAGTCGATGCGGGCCGATGGGTCCATGCGGAAGGCCATCGTCAAGGGCGATCAGCTGCGACATCCGGTCTCACTGGACCTCTTCGAGTCGAACATGTTCTGGGTCACGCGCGACACCGGCGAGCTCCTACGCCAGGACAAGTTCGGGCGCGGCGTCCAGGTGGTGCTCCACCGCAACCTGGTGAATCCGTCCGGCCTCAAGGTCTACCACGACAGGCGCTACAACACCTCGCTCCCGAACCCCTGCGACAACTCCACCTGCTCCCACCTCTGCCTGCTGGTGCCCGGCGGCCGCCGCTGCGCCTGCCCGGACACCTCTGGCCCGCTTCCCTCCCACCGCAGCACCGCCGAGGTCATCTGCGACGCCGCCGCCGAGCATCCGCGCCCAGCGCCGCGCATCTGCCCCTGCCAGAACGGCGGCCTGTGCAAGGAGAACGACCAGGGCGAGCTCGTCTGCGAGTGCCTGGCCGAGTTCCGCGGCGAGCACTGCGAGAAGAGCACAACGGGCGCCTTCGGCCATGGCGGCGCGAACGTCACCGCCGTCGTTGTGCCCATCATGGTCATTCTGCTGGTGATGATGGCCGCCGCTGGGGCCTGGTATGTCATTCGCAAGCGTCCATTGTAAGTATCCCCCCTCTGCTCTGACTGGTCTCCAAACTTCTCACCTCGAAACTTTCTCCTCTCTCTAGTGGCAAGCTGGCGCGCATGCCAGCGATGACGTCGTCGCAGAGCGTCACCTTCCGGCACGGGTCCAACGTGGAGTTCAGCGAGAGCGGCTTCCCGGGCGCCTCGGCCCCGGGGGCTGATGTGGCGCCCATCGAGGGCTACAACCTGCAGACGGTGAACGCGAACAAGGCGCGCGACTTTGCCAATCCCATGTACGATGCCGTGCAGTCGGGCACCACCACGGATCCGGGCATGGGCAATGGATCGGGTGAGTAGACGGCTTCTCTTTTGCTTAATCTTAGCCTTAATCCTTCTCCTGGTCCTCTCTCGCAGGCATCTACGATGTCCCCGGAGAGCCGAGCAAGTCGAAGGCGATGGGCCACCCGCATGCCACGAGCGGCGGCTCCTTCACGGAGCCCGCCTCTGCCATCATTGCCCCGAGCAGCATCACACACAAGTCGTCGCCGCAGCTGCAGCTTCGCACGCGGGAGCTGGACCCCTCCGCCGACACCGGCAAGGACACACAGTTCCTTGTGGAGGAAGACAAATCCGAGTGCTGATATCAAGCCCGTCAAGCTGCTGCCGTCGTCCCGCAGCACCGGCAGCAGCGGCAGCGTCCCCGCGAGCCGGACAACAGCTATCCGCTGCACACATAACACAGACTTAGCCAGCAGGAGCAGCAGCAGCAGCACCACCAGCACCAGCTGCCCGGACAGGTACATGGACATGGACAGGGACAGGGACAGGGACGCACTAGTAGTAGACATCACAAATCCTGGCAGACCGCCACCGGCAAGCTTACCACCAAGGTCTAGCCTTGCCACATCCACATCCCCATCCACAGCCGCACACACAGACATGAGTAGGAGTAGGAGGAGCAGCTGGAGGGATTCAGAAACGAAATAGAGACATATCCATAACCACTAAGGAAATGGGGAGCCGGGCAGAGCGAAACGGAGCGGAGCGTAGAGCCCCCAAAATCGATGGAAAAGAGGTGGTTAAAACAAGAATCTGTTGCAATTATTATTATATATAAAACAAAAACAAAAACAAAACCACTATAAATATATATGTATACACCTACACACACACACACACACACACAAGCTTGGAGCATATCGCTAGATCAGAAAAAGATAAAGAGAGAGAGGGAGAGGGAGAACCAAGTGCTGATTCGTTCAGCCTCTCTCTCTCTCTCCCTCCCTTTCTCTCTCTCTAAGAGAACATTCTTAGACCAAAGGGGGAAACGCCTCCCTTCGACCGAAGAGTGTCCACACACACACAACAAACACTTTTGTAAAGCCAATTTTTGTAATTTTTTTTTGAAACAAAAACAAAAACAAAAATGTAAAAGTAAAAGTAAAAGAAAACTGTATGTATGTAAATTGTTTTTGCTACTTGAAATGTTTTTTGCGACAAAACTGAAATTTGTATAAAACGAAACTCAAATTAGGGCATAGATGATATATATATTTTTCTGAAAGCTAAATGACAATATTAACTATATATGTATGTGTATGTATGTGTAGCAGAAACAAGCAGATTGTATGTATATGTGTATACTAAATACATATGTATGTATGTGCATCTATATCTATACATCTATGTACAAGGCGACTAAATGAAAATTCTACAAAAAAAGACGCAGCAAAGCTTGAATTTCTTATATTTTTCTAAAAAAAAAAACTAAAAAAACAAAAGTTAATTTAAAAAACGCCTAAAAATATACATGCAAAAAGCCAAGCAAAAAGAAAACTAAAACAAACGAAAAAATAACAGAATATATTGTGTGTATATGTACTAAATGCATTCCCACATACATATTTACATATGTGTGCATGTATATGTATGTATGTGTATATTTATAATAATTAATTTAATTATTTATTCATGAGCAGAACCCACACCCACACCAACACAAACCCACACACTGCTAACAAGCCGAAAGGTAGCCGTCTGCTTTCGAAAAGAGAGAGAGAGAGAGAGAGAGCCTCCACTGCTTGTTGTACAGCTTGCTTACTATCAACTGCTTTCTTCACTGCAACTGGTACTGCTTGTCCAGCGTAAGCGTCCAGAGCTTGTTTTCTGATTCTGGCTATCTTTTTGGTTCAAAACCAGACATTCCACACACACACACACACACACACAAACACACCTCCTCCTCTGCAGCAAAGAAAAGCGTAGCTTTTTCTTTTCTCTCTGTCTCTGTCTGCCTCTGACTCTGTTTTATTTTTTTTTTTGTTGATTCTTCCCCTGCGAAACACAAACAATTTTCGCTCTTTCGGCTCCGTTCCGTATTGTGCGTGTGTGTGTGTTACCTGTTTTAAAAACCTGCAGCGCGTGTTTTCTTTGTACACATGTGTGTATTTTCTATATATAAACATGTATATATATATACACACATATATATATATATATATATATATATATATATATAAATATTTTATTTTTTAATTATATATCATCGATTTATGAATGTGTATTATGATTTACGATTTATTTTTTGGTCGTCGAAACGCCGTATATATTTTTTTTACTGTTCGTTCTCTGTGCAAAATCTGTGCTTCCCTTCATTTAAGCGTGTTTTTAGCATAAATTTTAGTGAAAGAAGAAGTCGAAGAAGAAGGAGGAGGAGGATCGTTGCAACTTAGCTGTATATGCCAGTCGGGCCATACACATCGCTATAAATAAATAAATCTATATCTATATATATATCTATATATATATATTGTATATATGTATATGTATACACATCTACGAATATACATATATACATATATGTATATATTTGTGAAGTTAATTGTATATTTAATGTCAAGCTATATAACGAATACGAAACCAGAAATAATAAGAGTAAAACTACTTATAACGAAATGAAAAACTATTTGTTGAAAGAATAAAACCTTTTTTTATTACAAACATTTTCGGGGATAAAACGGGAAAGAGGGGGGTAAATCAAATAAAACTAAACATTAAAGGGAAGGGAAAGAGAAAAAAGAGTACACACACATTATCATTATTCATATATGATTCTTAGGGCTTAGGCTAGGGCTACGGCTGAGGACTGTGACGATTGACAATTGCTATGGGTAATGGGCAGCCCGCGAAGCAGGGACTTACATATGTATATCTATATAAAATCTTATAGGAATACATCCATGTGTAAAGTGGACACGGACAAACGTTCGTTTCGTATTGCTTTCAGAATCGATAGAGATGTATAGGAGAGACTACTTATCAAGGGTCATACATACATGTAAATGCTTCTCGTTGCCTGTGTGATCTGTCTTAGTCTTTATAAGTCCTGTGTCTGTATATATTATTGTTTCTATAAATACAATCCGTTGATAAATGCTTTATAAAAACAATAATCTATAAAGGTTTCGTTTAAAAAACTTAAAAACGACTTATAATTCCCTATTCTCTTAAATCTCTAAAGTATCATTAGTAGTTTCTCTGTCCTTATAAATACTTATCCATATATTGATCCGATTCCCCCCCTTAAGTGTCTTAAAAGTTGACAGCGACAAAACATTTATGAAAATAGTGCAGTACATAGTACGGACATATACAAATACACATATAGATATGCACATAAGGCATAAATGTACATACATAAATATTGACAAGCACATTTATTCATACAATTTCAGGGAACATGGTAAAAAAAAAAGCGTACACAGGCATACCCTTTATGCAGCACATAAAAGACTGACAGCTAAGAACTTTTTGAGACGTTTGGGCTTATACATACGCGCCGGAGTGGAAGCTTGGAAGCCTCGATTGAAGGATGCAGGTGGCTAATAAATAATGCTATGGACCTAGGATCTAAGCGGTAGGCGGTAGAGCTTCCCCGCCCACACAAAGCATGACGCGGGCTGGCACTTACACTTATAGAATAGGAGTAGGTTTGCTTAAGTCTTGGGCTGAGGCAGATTATGAACGAACTTAACCTAACCGCGGGATGGGGCTGGGAAGGGAGGGGGGCGGTGTATCCACTAGGACTAATGGCTGCTACTGTTGCTGCTGCTCCTGCTGCTGCTGCTGCTGCTCTGGAGGCTGTGAATGTTTGGCTAGTCGCTCGTTTTCAGACGCTTCACGGGCCCGTCGCTGCCCTGCGAGTTGGAGTCCTCCGAGAAGGGCATGCTGGATACAAAGTCCGCTCCCTGGCTATCGGACACCACTGAGAAACCTGCATAGAGGGAAAGAGAGGGGGGTCGGGGTCATTACCTGAAGGCTGGTACTCGGACTCGCCCTTCGACGGTGGCTTACATGTATTGGAATCCTCCGCGGTGAGCCCGCCGTAGCTAGGCGTGATCTGTGGGGGCGTGGGTGTGCCCTTTTGCGAGTTCTCTTTGTCGCTCAGCTTCGTGCTCAGCGGCTGCAGCTTCGACTTCTTTTCGCTGGTGCAGGCGATGGGCACCCATTTGTAGATCTTCATGGTGGTGTCGCTGATGGTGACCCACTTCTTCTCCCAGTGCCGCACCTTGTCCACGGCCTGCATGACCCGCTTGATGTCATCCTTGGCCCGGCTGCGCGTCTCCGCTCGCACGCTTCGCGACATTGCTCTCTCGCTCGCTCCTGCTTTCCGCTGGCTCTAGCTATTGCTGTCTCTTTCTAGTCACCACCCGGTTCGATGCGATGGCGTCTGCTGGACCTAGTCCTGGCTGTGCTGCACCAGCATATACGGCTCAGTGTGCTCTCCTCGCAGGCGGCCGGTTCCCCGGATGTGTGAGAGTAGCAACCGGCTCAATGGAAGGCGCTGGCAGTGCTTGGTTGGGTAAATACTACCGGGAAAATATCAACTCTATAAACGCGAAAAACTTGTGTCAGTGCTGTCGGTCGTTCGACAACGAAAGTGCCTAAAAAACGCCAAGAACGCAGTTATGAGCTTCTGCAATATCCTTTAGACTTTTCTGTAAATTTCGATATCAGAATTGACAAGGGAGAGGGGGCTAAAAACAGCATTCTAATATTAGCTAATATATTACCCTAATATTTAGGGTATATAAAATTCGATTCTCATAGCTGTAACCAGTTTAGCAGCATTTTTGGAAAAAATTCTATACAAGGGAGTACTAAAAACTAGCCAATCGTGTAGGAAATTGATGTATTGATGGTTTTATGATTGATGGTTTTCTATCATTTAAAGGAAACGTTGTCAAGGGCGGTATAAAATTTAATCATTTTAGCGCAGATCAGGTGAAAGATATCGAGCTTTGTTTCAGTTCAGAGGAAAGATGGCATTGAAAATCAGTAATATTTTCCGGCATTTACCTCAAGTCGTTGAAATGTTTAAATTAAGAGGGCTCAAGTGGGCTAAGTTCCTTTCTCATCGGTATAATTTGAATATGAGACGGTATTTTGGTATATTTTTTGAGGCTCAGACGGTATATTTTATCGTTAAGTTCGCGGTCACACTGAGGCAATGTATGAAGAATGAAAAATATCGCCCATATCAATATATCGATATAGAATATAGATAGAAACTTCCATATACAGGTTTTTTGAATTTTCGATCTCTCAAATCTAACTTACGTACATTATTTATTCCAGTGGATTGAATTTAAATCCTTGTCGCGCATTCACTTTCAAACAATTTAAATTTAACTCGGTTCTTTTTGCTCTCTTCAAATCGGTTAATTCTCTCTCCTTCGCTGTCTTAGAATCGGCTATGTATCGGAATGAGTCTAGACTCATGTGCCGAGTAAACTATCAGCATGTCCCGCAACATGGGCAGCATCCTCCATACCCTAGGGATAAGGATATAATAGGATTGAGAAAATGTTTGTCAAATTATCAAAGTATCGAAATAGGGTATACAAATGCCTATGCGCGCATCATGTCTTAAAACACAAGCAACATTGCGACTGTTTTTTTTTGTTCAGCTATTTGGTTCAAGCCTTGTTTCAGAGAAGATCCAATAAAAGCAAGGATTAAAATTTATCCAATCTTGTAGAAAATTTATTCATCAATGGGATAAAATTATGTGGGCATGGCTAAATGTTCTATGTAGCTCATTATATTTGACGGAACATCAAAATTAAGCAATATGGTTTCAATGCTTGCCGGAGAACTATTAACCTATTATAAGCCAAGGGGGTAATCATTTTAGCGCAGTTCAGATGAAAGATTCGTGGGGTTTGGCAACTTAAAGGGAAGGATAGGATGGATCTATATGAATTTACAATCGTTAATATATTCCGCCATTTACCTCGTGTAGTTGAACTATTTAAATATAGGGGGCTTAAGTGGGCTAAGCTCGGTTTTCCATCATACGAGTCGCTATATTGTTTTTGAGAAACCAAAATTGAGGCAAAAACAAGCAAAGCCAAGTATATAATGTGCCAGTTAAGTAGAAAATTGATTCATTAATCGTATAAAATTATGTGGGCATGGCAAAATGTTTTATCTAGCTAGTAATATTCCACGGAATATAAAAAACGAGGAATATTGATGGAACATGAATAGTTCGTCAGTATATTTACTGTATTTTTTGAATATGAGGTGGTATATTTTTCGAGGCTCAGATGGTATATTTTGTCGATAAGTCCGCTGTCACACTAAAGTAAAAACTATGCGTATGCGGGACGGACTCTTTTTTTTTATTTATTTTTTCGTAATCGACACGCCAAAATAGTGCATAAATCGCTGGGAATGCCGTGCAAGTGTCGTCGAGTGTGTGAAAGTGGAGTTTCCGAATCAGCCGATTGAGATCGTGTCCCCGCCTTTGCCCCGCCCGGCCCCGACTGACCCACAGCCCGATACCCGCGTACCGTGCCACCGCCAATCAAAAAGAATTCTTTTTGCAGGCGACGACGCTGCTGTAAGGAAATATATCGCAAAAAATAGAAGTACGACAGAAAGAGAGAAGACAAGAAAAAAAATGCAGAAACAACGTGTGTTTGTGATAGGCAGCGGAAGCAGACCAGCGGCAGAGGAGCAGTTGAAAGACGAGGAAAAATGAAGGAAAGAACGAGCAGAGCCAACGAAAACGAGCCGCATCGCGTCTTGGTGAGGGGGGAAACCGTTTTCGGCGCTGGCTGGAAATACAACAAAATATGCATGAAAAATAGGGAAAGTCAACGTTGGCTGCGCTGCCACTGCCTCTGCCTCTGCTGCGCCCCACACAAACACACGCACACGGGATCACACAGACAGGGCAAACACGCGCTCGCTTTTGCAAGTGTATGAGAAAATTAAATGCATTTTTTTTTTTACAAATAAAAACAAAAAAAAAGAAAACAATAAATCTGTAGGGTAAAATACAACAGGAAATCGTAAATGAGAATGAAAACTGTGACTCTTGTTGCTTTTGCTTTTCCTTTTGGGCTGATCTTAAATTGGCTAACACGCATGCACACAGGAACATGCATGGGCTACAGTTGGATCATGCGACGCTCTCCACAGTATATATGCAGGTGTGTGCGTGTCCGTCTGTGCACTAGCTTGATAAGAGCGCCCCGCTAACTTTTTTGGCCAGTTAAGAGCTAGATTGACAGCTTTGTCAGCAGCAGAAGCAGAAGAAGTTTTGCCCAACAATATTTCTGTGTGTGCCCAACTCTCGCTCGCTCCCTCTCTTTCTGTATCTTTCTGTGTTGGTTTTTGTGTTAATAATGAAATTCTAATTTCTGGAACTTCCCCTTCCCTCCCTCCCCCACAACCAGCAGCAACTTCTCCAAGAACTTTTCGCTGAAAGAGTGCAAATTGAGAGCAGAATATTCCCCCCGCGTCCGCGTACGCGAGTGTATGTGTGTGTGTGCACCCCTCTTCTCGCCAGCGCCAACGTCGATCCCATTTCACGCGTCGCCGCTCCGTCTCGCCGTCTCGCACTCTTCACGCGTGTGTGTGTTGTTTGTGTGTGTGCGTGTGTCGCCATCTCCCTCTGATGCACCACTAGCCCGAACGGCAGCAGCAGCAGCAGCAGCCGCAGCCAAGGGGCCGAGGCAGAAACCAAGCCAACTGTATCCGTCATCAAACAACAGCAACACACAGAAAACGCATTTCATTGCCAACTACTGACGAAACGGTCAACGACATTGCAACATAGAAGCTACAACAACAACAACAACAACAACAACAGCAGCAGCAGCAGCTACTACAAAAAAAATAAACCGCTATACAGAGAGAGACTGCAGCGAGCCGCCACATAGGAAAACGCAAAGAAAAATGCCCAAATGCGATGTGAAAACGCGTTACATTCCTGCGACTTTCGCCTGGATTGTGCTGCTCCTGACCACATTTCTGTTCTTCTTCTATCCGTGAGTAATTTTTCTGGCGATTCCTCTGCACTTATGTACATATACTTACTATAATTACCGCCTCCCCCTATCCCATAGTATAAGAAGAGAAATTTCGACCTGATCAGCGTTAACGGGGAATGCTTTGGCTCCGTGGGGAGCAGCTTTGCTTTGCCAGAATGAAAGAGCCGCCCGAAAGGCCGATAACTCAAGATATAAGACCAGAAAGCAGGTTCAAGCAGTCGTCCAGTCAAGCAGTCAAGCAGTCAAGCAGTGTGCAAACAATAAAAATGCTCTTATCAAAATTAATTTTTCGATGGAACTGGAACTAGTTCGCGACGAGTCTATAAATATTTAATGGTTCCAGGCTTTACGGTAGGTGGTAGGTACTACCCTTTGCTCTATCCTACTCTTGCGCTCTCTATTCTGCTCCCATTTTCGTGGATTAGGGCGAGGGGGCGCCTGGGCCTCAGCCTGGGCAATGCATTATGTGGGCGAGCATCAAGAACAGTCCTCCCCCTCCCCGGTGCATGTCTTAGTCATCTCTCCAACCGCTTTGGGAGGTTTTTCTTTTGTTTTTTTCTGCCAGTTCCTGGACAGAAGATGGGGTGCTCCCAATTAGACCAAAATAGCAATTAAGCTGTTGTCTTGTCTCTTTCCCACCCAGCACTCGCCACTCTCCGGCGTAGCTCTCTCTCTGTCGCTCTCTTGCCACATAATGACGCATATTTGTGGTCAATTGCAGTTCAAATTTAATCGCTTGCCATTTGAATTTCCATTTCCATTTGCCTCGAACGGGAAGGAAGCCTTTTTCGGCCTAAACGCATAATCTGCTCGGCCGCTTTGTCGCCTCTGTTGTCCTCTGGTCTCCTCTGCTCTCCTCTCTTGGCGCTCTCTTGCTTCGCTCTGCGGTCCTGCGGGAGGACACCCCTCCTGATACCCTGCCAAGGTGTATCCCATAGTTTTGGCCAGGTGCAGAAGGCCTGTAAAAAGTTCGGCGTCGGTGTGCTATCCTGTATCGAAGAGTATCAAAGGCTTCGTCGGCACCCCGACTCTGAGACAGCCGACTGCCACCTCTTGTTGCTTTTGTGGTTCTTTTTTCGGGCTTCCTTTTGTCGTTGAGTTACAGTTATCTGCTCTCCTGCTGCTCCTCCGAGCCGTTCTTTGTGTGGCGGCCCGCCCCCTGCCCTGCCAGAAGGGACGATGGCGATGATGTGTGGCGATACTTGAGTTTTTGCACTTTTGTCTCTGTGTTAGAGTGTCTGTGTGTGTGTGTGTGGGTTTTTACCCTTGTTTTCTAGTTTTTGGGAATTTGCTGATTTAATTATGCTCTCTGCTGCTTCCCCCCGCGCCCTCCGCCCTCGTCGCGCCCTCTGGGCCCTGCCCCTCGACTGATAAGCGGCGTCATCGGATGAAGGGGGTGGGGGGTGGGCGTTCGGGCTGGGTTAGCAAAAAAAAAAGTCCAATTACAAAAATATTTTGTCTCTTTGTTGTTGCTCGCACTTCTCTTCTCTTCTCTTCTCTCCTCTCTATCTCTTTCTCTTTTGGGGCTGCCTCAATGCCACAGGTTGGCTTTGTTTCTGTCGACCTCCCCTCCCTACCCCCCTCCCCCACCCGAATCCGAATGAAAAGAGAATTAAGTAAAGCATGGCAGGCATTGCGTCACAGCCGTTTGGACAATAGTTTTTTAGACATGCCACCCACCCAACCAGCCACCCACACAACCCCCTCAACCTCAAATTGGAATAAAAAACCATCCCCCCGCGCACTCGCACACTCCAGCACTTCTGGTGGGACACATTGAAATTCTAGAAGAGCCGCCACCGCCATTGAGCGATGGTTGCGTTTTTTGTCGTTCAACAACAAAAACAACAACAACAACAACAACAACAACAACAACAACAACAACAACCTCATCTCTATCTATCTATTCCCCTCCACGCGGTGGAACAAATGGCAAAGAAACGAAACACAAAACACTTGAGCACGTGGAGGGAGGTGGTAAGTGGGTGGAGAGGGAGCATAGGAAGTAGGAACTCAAATTCATAGATGCTAAAAAAAAACAAGATACCCGACGCGGCGCGACGATAGGAGACTCCTCAGCGAGAACTTGTTGGAATAATCTGAAATCTAAGGAACTTCAACGCCCAGAGACGGACAATTAGCTGTGGAGAGGGGCAAGAACTTGATTCTGTCCTGAAAAAACACTTGGATTCATTTCAAAATGAACACCACCCATAGATTGGCCTCGAGAGTGGAAATTGTAACCAACAAATAACTCAGTTAGAGATGAAAATATTCGAGAATATGTATATTTGTATTTGTATAAATGTAATATGTTGGGTACATACATGGATTGTCGGCGATTTCGATGATTGTTCGGCTGAATACAAGCGAAGTCTATTGTGGTGTGAATTATAGTGCATCTAAACCAAGGTGTGCGGCCGTAGAGGTATTAGCGATGAGTACTATAAGGAGTAACTCAAGGGCCAGCGGGCCCGAGGTCGAGAGAGCGTGAGGGAAGGTGCTGCGCTAGAGAGTGCCTGCAAGGTGGTCCGCTTACTCACCTTCGGGTCTTATTTTACGCTCCGCATGTGCGAAGAACGAAGCGTGATGTTGTGCTGAGCAAAATAAGGCCCTAAAAGAGGGAACGTTTGCGGGAGCGGACCATCCATTAGGCTGCTGCCGCTCCGTATATGAATGTGTGGAATGTGTGGACTGCAAACTGTAAGAGTGATTTTCCATTACTGCTGCACCGCTGGCCATAATCTATTGCTTGCTGGCTTGCTGGTTCTGCCAGAACCCAGAAGGTCCCCTCGCCACCTCCGTTGACCTGGAGACCCCCACGGGCACCCCCTGGGCATCCCCCAGGACGCCCAAACGCCGTAAAAGGCGGTCTATTTTTGTTGGTTCGATGCGTTTTTCGGGGGCTGGCTGCCAGCTCTCCAGTTTTCCACGTGAAAGTTACTTTAATTGCGAAATATTCAAGTAATTTAATTTCCATTTCCATTTTGTTGCTCTGGCAACTCGCATCAAAGTGAAATGGTGAGCGAGGCGGCAACGAGGGCGGCGAAGGGGGGTGGCAGGGATGGATGAGAGGGGGGGTGGCGTTAAGCGGGGTTTAATCTTTCAAAGCAAATAAAAAGTGAAAAAATAAATAAAATACGAGGGGGTGAGAGAGAGAGAGAGAGAGTCTAGGCTACAGAGAAATATGAAGAGATGAAGGCTGGTGGGTGGGGGGTAAGAGGAGGACTGACTCTAGCGGTCACTATGGTTAAGCCCCCCCCCCCCCCCCCCATCCCTCTTTTACCGTCCTTCTCTCGGAACCCTTTTAGTCAACCCAATTAAATGCTGTTTGCAATTTGCGCTAAAAGCATTTCAAGGATTTAATTTTTTTTACCATATTTCTACACCCCTCCCACCACTCCCTCTCTGTCCCTCTCGCTCTCTATCTGCCATTCTCTGGGGACGCATCTTCTTTCCATTGCCCGACGTTTGATTTCGATTTTCTCCTCTCTCCATGTGTGTGTGTGTGTGCGTGTGTGTGTTTCTACATGTCATACCAATTAGTACTGCCAATTACACTGAGCCACAGAGAAGTGGAAACCGAAAAGGAATCACTCGTCACTCGTCACTCGTCACTCGTACTATCCGGCATTCGATAGCTCCCTCCTGGAGGACATGCGACATATCCCAACCCCTTGGATGTTTCCTTTGTGCCACTCCTATCGTGCCTATCGTGCCTATCGTGTGTGTACCCAAATATATGACTACCAAAGGCCTCTTTCCTATGGGATTCGATTTCCCTATTTCCCTCTTGTCCGCCAGAGCAAAGCAATCGGCAAACGAGAAGAATAACGGAGCGGCAAGGAGCACACGAAACAAAAGATAATCATGCACTGAGCATAATTGAACCAGGTCTAACCCCCCTTGCGATACGATACTTTGCTCGGGACTCAATCGTTTGCAGAACAAACGGGGGTGTCCCTGGTGGGGCATCTGTGGCAGGAAATGTTGAGCCGAAGCCCCCCATATCTGCCATCCTTACGATATGGTGGCAACTCTACCAAATAAAAGTACAGTCTGTAGGACAGTGGCACTCAATCTAGAATGCTTCTAGTATGAGGTCCTTCTTGAGCCGCTGGGACTTTCCCTGGAGATCAAACAGGTGTGGAATACTCCCACAATATGATGCCACAATATTCGTGCATTCGGTACAAGTTTTTGTTGGCCAGGCTAAGGGGAACAGTGCTCTGGTTTTTCGGTTCACTTGAGTTATGGTTCGCTGCCCCCCATCACGCCTCCTCTCTGCCGTCCAAGAGGCTGGGCTTTGTCCCCTACTAATTATGATGTAAAAAATAAAAGTTTTTCTTTTCCTTGCAATTAGTCGGACACTCCGGAGGGGTGGGGAGGGGGGGTAAACTCTCATAATGAGTGTCGTCTGGAGCGGGGGAGGAGGCAGAGAAATCACACATTTTCTTGTGCCAAGGCGAAGAGGGAGTACCGCTATATATTTGTATATATTTTGTATGCTTTTGGAGCTGTGGAGCTCGTTTGCCCTCGGCTCTGCACAAAACCCAATTTTTTCAGGCAAAAGTCAAAGCCAAAAACCAGCATAAATTATGGTATTGCTTGCTCTTTCGCTTTGCTAGAAAATCAAGCATTGCAGAGAGTGAGCGAGAAAGAAAAACCAAAATTTTGGAAACCTGTTCAGACAGGACTCTGGCCCTGCCTCCATCTGGAAGGGTATTCGAGCCTCGGTCCCGGACCAACAGCCTTTCCCTTTCCTTCGCTTGGGCTTTCGTTTTTCCAGCATTTTCCTGGAGATTTTCTAATTGAATTGAATTAGTGTCAGCCACGCGATATAAATTATACAGACTCTCGTCTATGTGCAAGCAATGTACATGGAAAGAGCAGGCATGGCACTCGGTGGGGCGGTGGGTCGGTGGGCGGTGGGCGGTGGGGGGGTGTGCTGTGAAGCTGGGCCTGCACCTGCGAGACCACGCACGCCCTCCCCCACA